GTGCACAGGAAGACAAACAGAAAGATAAAAGAAAGAGAAGAACAAAAGAAATACAGCAGTGGGAGAAACGGAGCGAAATCGGATTAAAAGAATTGAGATAAGGATAAATCTTAAAAACAGAAAATTGATTGAGAGAGGACATGAGAGGATATTTAACGTTATTAGATAAAGATACGATTTGAAAAAGGCCCTTTCGTTTTACAAATTTCCTGACCAAACAATACAACCCATCGGTGTAACATTCCCCTCAGTGGCGTAATGAGCCAGAATTTGAGGGGGCTGATGTAGTAAAAATTTGAAAATGTTCTCACGCACCAGCAACACAACAACAGTTGGGTATCAACACTCCACTCAGAGGTAGCCCTCCCTGATGACAAGAGGGCCACAGTGCCCCCACCTCACATATTCAAATACCCCAAACGTGCCCTTGTTAACGTCAGAAAGGTGCCCCTTTTATACATCATAAGTGCCCCGAATTCAAATCGGAGAGGTCCCCTTTTTACTTTGACAAGTGCCCCTTTCTATTGTAATAAATTCTCATTTCCCTTTCTTATAAGTGCCCAAATTGTATCTATAATTAGTGCTCCTTTTTAAGGTATGAGAAATGCCACTTTTCACCTCTGATAAGTGCCCCCTTCAATTTGACTCGTGCCCCTTTCCGTTTCTTTTAAAAAAAAATGCAATTCTACTTCCTCTTTCTCATAAATGTCCTCTTGTTTACCTCTGATGGGTGCCCCACGTAAACTCTAATATTGGCAAGTGCCCTAGGATGAGGACGGTTAAATGGAAAGATGAAATGAGGAGAAAGCACGCATGTGAATTCAGTTACGAACACCAAATGAGCCACTAATTAATCATAATAAAAAGCTCTATGAATAGTGCATAAAATGTCTTGGTATTCTTTTATGAAGAGAGGGTCGGGGAGGGAGCAAGAGAGAAAGAGAGGCAGAGATAGAAAGTTGGATAATGGCTATCTGGTACCAAATTGTACCTAAAGAAAAATTGTATTACCCCAAACTGCATTATGTAAATTTTAACAGAATTGCGTAAAACACTTTTAAGGTCAAATACAATTTTTTTTTAAAGGGGGGGGGTCTGTACATCCAGATCATTTCGGGACTGAAAATTTTGGTTTAAGGTCACTTTGGTGTCTTTTTTCAGGGGAGTATTACATCCCCTTCCAGATGGACGATTTTGTTAGCTAATATATTTTTTAATGGACATGCAGAAATAGATCTACCTTCGGACCGAATCTGGTCAATGGGGTGTAAGGAGAAATATTTACCGCGATTTCTAGGAGCCGTCTGACACCCCATCCCGACGGAAACTTTTGTCAGCATTTTTATTTCTGTGTGTTTGTGTGTGTAATGTCCAGTCACATTGGTGCATGGGCTATAGGTGGGGTGAAAGCGATCCAACTTTGGGGTCTGTTTTTAGGGGCTCTGTGGGCCTAAGATCAGATTGATTGATATTTTGATTTAAGAACTGTACAGGTCAATCTCTCTGAAAAACATTAAGCTCTCTTTCGCTACTTGCCCTTCAAGTTGAAAGGTCATTTTTAGTTACCCCTTTTCACGAAGTGATAGTGAGAATATGACCCATTCTTGATGGATAAAGTTTATATAACACGATGGCAACTATTTCCCCCAAAATCAACCTATTTTAAGGGCACTTTCAATAACTTAGATTTATAGACCTCATTTTCGGATTATGTAATACATCATTGTCATGTTTTCACAATTCAATATGGGACGCACAAGGCTATTAATTTTTCGGTGGGTTGATTTTTCGAATGCATGTATCGTATTATAGTTTCTCAGAACTTTATTTCTCCATCTAAAAAGTCATAGAGATTGTTGAGTAAAGTTTCGAAAAGACATAAAACTTGATCTATCAAGAATAAAACATATTTTCACAATAATATCATGAAAAGATGTATGAAAATTATTCCAACTTTATGGGCTACAATGACATTGTAGAATGTATCTGATTTTGTAATGTTAAATAATTGTTGAGTCTAATTCTCTCCCGAAAATATGTTCAATTTCCTTGACTCATACAAAATGGTAACTGGTCTTTTTTTATTCATAAAATAATAAAGCAGGGTCTGCTTCACAATAAAGTATCTCTGTAAAAAAATAAGCGCTACACAGTTCCATAGAGATTGGTATTTGACTAATAAATATGAAACTAGCCGGTTATATTGTCTCCGACAAAATTACATAAAGATCTGCTTCACCCATCCGGAAAGGGTCAGTTACGTTGCAATGACAAAGGTATGGATTCTCTTTCTCTCAGACCTTTTTTTCTAAGCTATCCACCTGATCGTGACGTAGCAAACATTTTCATGTTTTTTTTGTAATGGTGGTGAAAAGTTATTTCGGCGATTTGTGTGCAAAAAATGAATAAATTATGCTGTATAGGCTTTGCCTTTGCCACCTCCCTGGTTTAGACAAAATGCTAATTCAGATGTTTACACTCCAGAGCAGAACAGCTCCCCCAGCTAGGGCAAGACCGCTCTGGCTTTCTTCGAATCATCGCGTCGGGTCGGGTGGTCGAGTTAATATATATCCTTGACTGACCAAGCAATGGACTCGACTTTGTCGTTATATGCAGAGGTCAGAGCAAGATCTCATAATTTAAAGCCCAAGTCCACTCCAAAAATAACTTACTTTCAATAGAACCAGAAAAATCAGACAAACCAATCAAAAAAAGTTTGAGCAAAATCGGATGACTAATAAGAAAGTTATGAATTTTTAATGACATGAATTTTTTTAAAAATCACTACACAAATTGGCAACTCACTCATGAGTCTGTGACGTATGGTCCTCATTATTCACTAATTATTTTCTTTATATTGATAATATAAATTTCCTATTTTCACCCTAAGAATCTTATTTCTTCACACCAGCATCCAAGTTAGATTGTTAGTAATATGTTTTTGTGTGGATGCACAAATAAAGAGTAATTTTTGTCCAGTTAAATCATGAAAAATAGAATTTTGATAAACTATTTATATAAAAATCAATAATTATGAAATGTAATATTCGGCAAATAGTATCAATTCTTCAAAATTCATAAAAAAATTTGGGAAATGTCATGCACGCAATAATGATACAAATCATATAACCTGGGCAAAGGCATGGGGAAATCAAGTTGTGGGGGATAAAAAGGGAAATTAATGGGATTAAACTATATAAAGCAATTGATAAGTTGTGAGGACATGACGTCACAAACTGATAATCATCTTGGCAATTTGTGTCGTGATTCTCATTGTTCCATAGTTTTACATACTTTTTCAAAAATTCATAACTTTCTTATTAGCTATCCGATTTTGCTCAAACTTGTTTTGATTGGTTTGTCTGATTTTTCTGCTTTTATTGAAAGTAAGTTATTTTTGGAGTGGACTTGTCCTTTAATACGATGGATTTACATAGCCGCCAACCCCGGCCTGGGATGGCATCATGTAAATAGGCCTATGTGTCCGATGACATTAACAAAATAGAGTACTTCCTTTTCAAGGATTGTTCCAGACGAGTCGTCATCTCCTAAAAATAGAATATCGCTAATGATATTAAAGTCATTCATAGATGACGAATAACATCATCAACATACAACAGAAAGTTGAATCTCCAAAAGAGAGTAATTACTTTTTAGGATTGTTCCAGAAGAGTCGTCATCTCCTATAAATAAAATATCGCAAACGATATTGAAGTCCTTCATAGATGTCGAATAACAACTTCTGATACAACAGAAATACTACTTATTAATAAATGTGAAATCAGACATCATATACTGTAGCCAGTGTGACAGCTTTGGTCGTAATAAATGAAATAATAATAATAATAATAACTTGAATATCAAATCAAGTTGAAGAATATCAGCTAGTTGAGTTTTTATTTGATTTGATTTGATTTCTGCATTTTTCCAAATACATAACTGAATAACAAAGAATATGTAAACGTAAGGTATGAATATGCAAACGATAATGACTTCATGTGTAAACGTGATTTATTCATATAGATATAATAACGAACTTAGTATTTCTATAATTATTATTATGAATTTGAAGTATTGTTCTAACTATATGTGGAAAAAGTGCACGAGACCGCAATCGTAAGCGACGCTTGATTAGGGGCGCGTTTATCTAGGCTTGCCACTAGATATGTACATATCGTACCCCACTATTGAACCCCTCTATCATACCCCACTATACGATCGTGATTTGTGGGATGTCGCGTTTATCGTCCCTTCACGATTCAAAATAAAGGCCTTGTGTCTGCCCAGCTGTTTTTACCCGGGAAGCAGACAGTTTCTCGGAGGTCAACTTCACACACATGTTTGTACACAACACCTGGGTGGGCCTATTTGTATGTGAGGTTCAAAACAGCTTTGCGTTTATCGATCTCTCAGAAACGTGATTCTGGCTGTATGTCACATACAAAACACACATTTTTGCGTCTTTAGATATGCCCATATCTAAAGCCCTTTAAAAAAGGCTTTGCGTTTATCACCTCCTAAATTTGCCTGAAAGACGTTTGAGAAACCTGATTCTAGCCAAAAATCTGGTCGATAAACGCAACCTAGGATGGAGACCTTAAACGAAAAATCTTAAGGTGGAGTTTATTAATGTATGATGTGTGTGTGTGAGTGGATGCGTGTGCGCGTGTGCGTGTGTATGGGTAGCGAATGGTGGATGTGCACGTAGCTTCGTTTGTATGGTGGAGTATATACATAATTATAAGTCCCTACTTCAAAATATCGGAAAGTTAGTGACTCTTTGACCTTCTCTGGATTTGGACTTGCACACGTTGCTAGTAATGGTGGTCCTATTCCTATAGTTAAGCGATCATCTTTTCTGATTCGTTTTCGTACTGTAGACTTTCTACAAGAATTTGAAGATCTTGCCATCGGATGTCACTGTTACCATTAAGTTTTTTTTGTTGTAAAGCTTGAAAAAGTTATTAAAATCTCAACTTTCATCTTACAGAAAACCAGTTATGGCTCAGGAGGTCGTGTTAGTGACAGGTTGCGTGTCTGGTCTAGGCCTATCTACAGCCACACTCCTCGCCCGGGACCCAGACAAGAGATACATCGTCATAGCAACCGTCATCTCGCTGACGCAGAAGGATGATCTGGTTGTTGCCATGGGAACGCATCTTGAGAAGACTGCTTACATCATGGAGATGGACGTCACCAAGGATGAGGGTGTGCAAAATGTGGTGCAGACAGTTCTGACTCGGTTTGGGCGGATCGATGTACTAAGTAAGATGCTTTCCTCTGTAAATTAATTTTAATAAGGCTTCTTTGACATGCACAATTAAGAAAAGTTCATCTCATCCATTTGAAATATCATCATCATAATTGTCCATATGGCCATGCACAGTCTTAAACACTCTTAATGCAAGCTGTCACTTACTTAAGCATGACTGGTGTACTCTGATACATATCAATTCAATGAATTAAATAGGAAAGGTTTCGAGTTTTAAAATACATGTTTAGTATCTGGTTCTCATGAGGAAATTTGATAAAATTATGTTTCTGAGCAAACTTTAAATTCATCTTGTATTTAAAGAAAAAGAAAAAAAACCTCTTAGGTTGTCTTCCGTAATTTATACACTGTTGATGGTAAGAAATATTATGCTAAACACAATAAACCAAACTAATACACTACAGTAAATGAAAAAGAAATGCTAGTGAAAGGAACAAGGTTTGATATACATTGTCTTTTTAAACATAACATACCTCATCGTCATCACCTTCGTTTAGCGTCCGTCTCTCCCACGTTGTGGGGTTAGGCGTTTCATTTCCCTTATGACCGTCCCAAGCCTTCCGGTCTGCAGCATTCGCCTGGGTGAGGCCAGAATGATGCTCTCATGCGTATCTTCTTCTAGCGTCGTCGTCCAGGTTTTGCTAGGTCAACAAAGGGGGTTCAGACCCGCAACCTAATATATGGAACAATTAGATATTCTATAATGAATTCTTAATCAATAAACATGCATGATAAATCATCTCTGACTATGTTTACCTTCACCAATCCAACAGTGAATATTGCTGGTATTGGGACGTGTGGTTACATGGACACCATGCCCCGGTCTAAGATAGAACTGGCTTTCAACATCAATGCTATAGCAGTCATCCGACTTACCCAAGCCGTCCTCCCTCACATGAAGCAACGAAAGATGGGCATGATCCTCACAGTGACCAGCAAGGGAGGCAGAATAGGTAAAATACCTGCACTGTTGCACATAAAGTTGGAATAAATTTGTCTCCCCTCATTTCATAAAAATGACCGTGAGGATACGATTTATTCTTAATACAGTTTTCATCTTCTCAGAACTTTAATGATCAATAACGTTCTGAAAGGAGGGGGAGGGGGTGCGGAAATGGCCAGATGTAAGTTTCCAGGGACTTGATTTCTGGAATCCCGCCGGTCCTTTGTAGGCCTTTTTGAGAGAGAAATGGGTGCTTAATAACATAATAGCATGTATAATACATTCTCATACCCTGCATTTAAAAACAACAATCCTCTCTAATTTGTTTGTTCCTCATGAAGGCCATTAATTGTGTACGATTTCATTGTCATAGGCCTATTTTTCGCATCTTCTATTAATATATATCCCGGTGTCCCTTTGCTCGAAGTGTATTGCGCCTCTTTAGTTTACCGTTGAAGGTTTCTTGGAGTCATTTACTCTGTTAGACCTTGATTCTTTTTAAATATTTTCCACGTTTTTTTACCCTTTCGGTAGTTATAGAACTTTTATTTTTTTTAAATGATTTAATCTCTTTTCGCAGTTTCTAAATTCATTCTACTTATTTTGGGGATTTTATCCTTTTTTACTTCAACTACGTCTAAAACAGTTTTAAACAAATTGATTGTCAATAAGACTAGCAGCTATGTTCATAGCATAAGTTAGTCTTCTTGTATTTTGTATATCATAATCCAGGTATCCCTTTACTCGAAGTGTATTGCGCCTCCAAGTTTGCTGTTGAAGGTTTCTTCGAGTCGTTGGTACCGGTAGCGAGACAATTCAATATTGAGTAAGTTCCTTTTGCACTTTCACTCGGGAAGTTAGGAGCATGGGTCGGTTGTGCCCCCTTTTAAAACAAAATAAATGTGGCAAACAATAAGTACATACAAGTAATGATAGCATAGTCTTGTGGTTTAAACATAAGTCTTGACAGGAGATACACAGGTCATGGGTTTGGTTTGAACCCTGACACGGCATTTATGTCCTTATGCAAGGCATTTTATCTACAATGCTTCTCCCTACCCAGGTGTTACATAGATACCTGTTATATGATGCGAAAGTCATAGTTTAATGAGCATCTTGGGCGACTGTAGAATGGCGCCTCGCTGAAATACTCTCCAAGGAGTTGAGAATGTGTCCCATATTGTATGCGGGCAAGCCTAAATCCTACGACCGGGGTAATATCTGTAAAGGTGCTTAGAGACATCGTCAATATATACAGAGCTACGTATATCAATTTAAAATAATCTTAAGACAAGCTTTGGTCACAAGATGTCTTAAATGCTATAAACCCATTTTATTAAAGCATCGTCATGGTGGAGCCCGGTGGTATGCGAACACAGCTCCAAAAGGGAATCTTTGCGGATTTAGAAGGCGTCATCGCAGACGACTCCGTGAACGACCTCGACAGGTCATTCGCTCGGAATTGGATCGGCGACCGGAAGACAACAAGACAAGCCATGACACCGGACGAAGCAGCCACCAAGCTTCTAGAGATTATACAGGCGGAGAAGCCGAGGTTTAGGTACACCTTACCCGAGAGTATGGGGGAGGCGTTAGCCAGCATCCTGGCGGATCCGTCGGAATTAGGGATCGCCTTGAACGAGAGGCGCATTGTTGGAGCAGGGAACAAGACAGCAGAATAATTATTAAAAAAATTAAAACATGAGTGTAAACAGGATCCTTGCTCCATTGAGAACAAAAAATACGAGAAAAAGTTACATTCCCTAATTGACATACGATATCTTGGATCCGCCCCTTAAAAGATAATTTGTTTTGTGTCACATAATTACTTTTTTACCATTTAGAACAGGAATTTTGAAAAGTATACATCGGTGACCGAAAAATATTCAATTCGTTATCCGTATATCATTAAAGAAAAGTGAAACGTAGAATACAATAAAGAAAGAGGGTTTGAATGCACTCATTGTGTCTACGTTATACAATGTTACATAGTAATTAGTAGCGCCCCAGGTGGGGGCAGCATCAGCAAAGCCCCCCCCCCCTCTTCGGCGGCCCCAATAGGGGGGAATGAGAGCGACAGAAAAAAAATAAAGAAGAAAAGTAAGGTAAAAGAGGATAAGAGAGGAAAAGAAGTGAGAGAGAGAGAGAGAGAGAGATGGAGGGAGGGAGAGATAGAAAGAGATGAAGAAAAATCGCTACCTCGAGTAACGGGATGGGATAGGAATCTCACCTCACCTCAAAGTTTCTTATGGTGGCAGGACAAACAAAGTCATGTCCTTGCACTTACCCCCCCCCCCCCCCCACACACACACACACACACAAACGCACACAAAAGCAAACAAATAGGATAATACCCAAATTTGGATAAAGCATTACAAAACTATAGTGTAACATAGATAATAATAGAGTGCAAAAGTAAAGATTACAATAACCAGGAATGACAATGAATGTACGTACGATTGCATGTCTCTATCTGGAATATAATTCAGAGATGAAGATAAATGTAATTACTCGTAATACTTTTTACAACTTTTTTTCTTTTTAAATAAATAGGAAAAGAAAAGAAAATAGAACATGAGAGTAAAACTAAATATATATATATATATATATATATATATATATATATATATATATATGTAAAATGGTATCTCTATCTTATAATGGGCTTGATGTTGCAAAGTTTTCAAGATTGTATATGTTCTAAATTTTGTAGAGTTTGCAATATTATTTTCATTTGATAGTCTGTCTTTCCACGCTGTTATATACCTATCTTGTAATTTGATAAACATAGCTTTTTTAACGTATTGATAGACAATGTATTATGGTTTTGCCAGATTTGAGAGTAGCCTAATAATGAGTTTTAAAAGGATTTTATGTATTTGCGATATTTTATTTTAAAGATTTTCCCCTCAACGTAATTTTGCTTTACCAAGCTTTCTTCGGAGGAATTTATCATGTGATGCCAGCAGCCAACCACATCTTTAATCCCTGGATTAGCCCCTGGATAGCGCTTTTCAACAAAAATCAAATGTAGGGATTCGGGTAGGAATGTTTTGTAGCATTTTTCTTATTCTTTCGTATCATTTATCAAGTATTCAAGATTTATAAAGAAGGATTGGTTTTATACGGGTATCGAACAATTTTAAGTATATCTGTTCTTGAGGAAATTCGGTCTGTAAAGGGAACATTTTGTGTAGGTTAAATACAGCTTTTTTTTTGGCTTTGTTGATTAAGTTTTTTTTATTGCGTATGTACATGTGCCTGGTGGTTTGAATATAAATTCTTAATATTTGTATTTGTTAGTTGTTTCTATTCTGATGTTATCAAATAAATATACTTAATTTTCAACATTTGTCCTGCCTTAATAAAAATCATTATATCTGTCTTTCTCGTATTGATTTCTAAATTACACTTCGCACAATATTCATTTAAGTGAATTCCACACTCCTTTTTAGATGCTAAACCAGGTCATCTGCATACAAAAGTCATTTTTTTCCAACCTGAATGTAAAGTCACTGGATGACAATTATCTCCAAATGAATTTATAATATAATTTGAATTACAAAGAAACAAGACAATGTTTGGCTTAATACACAACCTTGTTTTACTCCTACCGAAGTGGGGGAAAGACTGGGTTATTTTGTTTTGCAGTTTAACAGAAAATCGTACATCTTCATACATATTTTCGATGATATCGTAGAATGGGCCGGCTGTAATGCATTTGTTTAATTTGAAGAGAATATTACAAATACTTCTTATTTTTAAACATTTTATGTAATAGTGGATAGAATGAATATACATGTATGGTCACTAGTCCTATAACCTTTTCAAAAACCTATCTGATTAAAGGTTATTATGTTGTTTTCGTCCAATGCATTTTGAGTCTATAATTGTAGATTATTCTTGAACATAATTTTGCAAGGGAGGTTGTGTAGGGCTATCCCTCTTTAATTGGAAGGGTCATTACTGTTTTCTCCTTTGAATATTGGTTTTATGAGATTATTCCTCCAAATGTCTGTATATTCCCGATTTTAAGATAGCATTAAATATACCTAGAAAGTTTAACGTGGACTTCTTCACCGATGCTTGGACACCCCCCCCCCTCCCACACACACACACACACACACGCACATTAACTTAATCTAGCGACACTGTAGTGTTTGTTGTATTGATCACTTACTATTTCCTCTAATATAGTGATAGTGAACTTTCCCTGAATTAAGCCTATCTATCAATGGTGAATAGACATAATCCATAAAGGTGGAATTAATTAAACAAGCTTTACAATATTTCTCCATAATAACGTACTTGCGTAATTTTCAAATTACCGCCTCCCCCCCCCCCCCCCTCCCTCCTCTCACCCTCCTAACGATAGGGAAATCCTAGATCCGCCCCTGTATGCTATTTCTGTACCTTTAAAAATGATTTAATCTAGAAAGCCTCCCCTTTCACCTGGTCTATTCCATCAGAATTTCATGGATGACCATCATAATCTGTTTTGACACCACCAATTGCCTGTAAATCAGGGATGATGGGATGGGGGCAATACACGGATGAGCAGATGCATTCTGGTGAGATGAGAGACGGGGAAGACCATTCATCTGTTTGCTGCCACCCATCTGCAGTTGTGTTATGTGTCAACAGTAATGATGTTTGATACGCACTGAATGAAGAGGAGCTGGAATGAATTTTTCATTACAGTGCTCTTGGCACAGCTATTAACCAAAGCCATACCCTTCCGCATTCGAAATTTCCATCATCACTGACAACGCTGCATTTTTTTCGAAATATTGTACATTTCCAATGTCATGCGAGACCATCTTAAAGATATACACATATTGTCTAACATAAGGCTAAATACATTTTTCAATATCACGTTGACTAATAAAAGTACAAATATAATGATATAAAAAGGACGTCTAATATTATTTACTCGTTTAAATTTTTTTTTTTAAATGTACAGGGTCATATATGAAATGAAATGGTAGGCATTGTAAAACATAATAGAGTTATATGTATTATCTAAATTTTGACTCGAGGAAAATCAGTTGGATTGATATTAAAATGTGTATTACTAAGGCCATGGACCTCGAAGTAGGTCCATGCTTAAGCTCAGTTCTTTTGGCATAAAATGGCCTAGAGCCCGTTTATCCACCGCTTTGCCCCCCCCCCCCTCCCTCAATTTTTGTTTTAAATGACCAATATTCGGGAATCAGTCATCTCATATCTGGACAGAGAAGGGGTCATTTTGTACTTTTTTTAATTTTTATTATGAAGTGAATTTAATAACGACGGAATATTTTCACGATTGCAAGTGGTCTCCATCTGATGGTGAAAAAATAGAAGAAAGAGAAAGAAAGGGAGGGGGTTACACCCGTCGCACGCAAGATTTTAATTATTAAACTGAAGGGTGTCCATTCGCCTATGCTCAATTTTATGTCATGAACTTTACACAGCTGGTATAAATGACCGTTTCTTATGAATTGAAAGTAATAGTAGTAGAAATACTTGACGCTGTTCTAAAAGTAGTGACCATCGGTAAAAGCACGAGTCGCATCATTTCACATTCCCCTGGACCTATATAAGCATGGACCCTGCTGCACGTGACTGTAACTGTGACGCATCTACAGCCTCTAGGCCCATTTGACAAAGATGTTAACCTAGTTCTTCAAACTAACAATGAAAGGTTATACAGAAATAAATCAGAGGCAGTATAAGGGAAGTTGAGCTACTAATTGTGAAGTCGTTGTTTTCATGGCGTCCCTGATTGTTTGTCTGGTCGTCGTAAATTGCGTCCAGTGAGAAGCAACCAGTCTTTAAGTTCAGCCATCTTCATCTACATGGGCCATGTTTCTATTAAAAACAATCATATGCCATAAGTTTATCACAAAGGTGCTCAAAACAAATCACGCAAAGCAGCAGATGAAATGCTACGATTTCAGTAACTTGTATCAAATATTGGATCTCGCTATTGCCGACAAGTGAACAGGTTTTATTAAACAGGACCCATCATCAGATTGCAATAACAACTTTTGAAACAAAGTAAAGTTTTTTTTTGAAAGAGAGTTTTGAAAGAAACCAAATGAAATGATTTTACGTTTTTAAGTACATGTATATCGGGAAGCAGCGCATCTAGGTATAGGCCTTGATAAACAGGAAGGGGAAGGATGCCTTTCCGAAGGGGTAGGCGGAATGTACGTACATCGACAGCCTGCCCCCTCATGACGTAGACACAGTTCAATTAATAGGCCTATGCTTCCCTTTCTTTCTGTCTTTCTGTTCCTCTCTCTCTCTCTCTCTCTCTCTCTCTCTCTCTCTTTCTCTCCTTTTATCTCTCTAAGCTAGTCAGCTAGTTATAAGTTAGTTTTTTAATTTTTTTTTTTTTTTTTTTTTTTTAATGCAGGAAAACCTCCATGGGTAAAAAAAAAATAAAAAAATCACCGGCCTAATCATCATTATGTATGCATGATTCCGTACAAAAATCCCATCACCCACATCCCCTCCCTCTTCCAGACACTCATAACTATTTTGATTTGATTTGATTTGATTTGAAAAGGTATTTATTAAAAACCACATGGCAGCTCAACAGTTGAATTGAGTGGAATTCACAACATAAACAATTCAAATAAATGCAATACAAAGTCAATATGATGCAATTTGACAGTATGAATGGTAAAAGATAATGTTCAGTTTGGGTTATGCGATGATATTGTAATCGGACAAAATTGGAAATGGTTTGTTATGCGGTAAAGAAGCAATAGGCGTACCGCTGTCTTTAAATGATTTTGGAATCACCTGATAAGAATCTCTTTCAGGGGATATTTCTATGATATTCTTCCAAGCTGACATAAACAGAACGATACGTTTTATTTTGAACACACTTAATTTGAACACACTTAACTCAACTTTCATTTCGAAGGAAATTTGTCTTACAGTATAATACACCCACATGAACTTTTGGAATTACTTCATCAGTATAAAAGAGGAAAATTAAGCGAAACAGAATAGCGAAAGTTTTAAACAAATAGGACCAATAGTACGAAAGTTAAGAATTATGAATTATGAATGTTTGAAATATGAGATCACTAAGTCTATGCAAATCTCAAAATGGCAATTTGGTCAGTAGTATGTGACGTAGTCATGGACAACTCTCCCGTTTGTCGTGTACAAAATATAATTTGATTTCTACTTTTCTCCTAAGTGCTTTCTCCCTATACATGTATAGGGGCACTACTCA